TGCGCGCGCAAAAGGAAAAAGACAACCACCAATTAACATAAAACAGTTGTGGTCGTTGCTTGTCTCATTGTTCATTAAATTAAAAGTCTTTTAACAAAACAGTGCATAGAACGGCATGCACGTGGAGCGAAAATGCAGGGACCATACAGAAGTATAATATCCCTAAATGGATCATGATTGCACAAGCTTGTTCAATCATCACGGCCACCTTTAGCTAGCACAGTAAACACTAAATGAAAATAATCTAACAGACGGAGCTTTCTGTGGCAAACACTACAGGAAGACAAAGGAAACTGTTGATAAAAAAAGGTCATTCAGGTCATGGAAAAAAAGCAATGGACTTAATGAAACCATCATGTCGTTTAATCTGAAAGTGATATGACATCCCAAAAGACCTAATCAGATAATGGCTCAGTAAATTAACCCAGCACAGCAGGAGAGGGAAGGAAAACATGCATCGTGACAACATCCAACCACAAAGATAAATGAATAGATTAATTAAGAATCTTGAAATAGATGTACATAAATCTTGAAATTTTTGATAAACATCTCCCATCACGATAACATACAAAATCAACAAAAAAAAAAAGAAATATGGTTAAAATTTACCCTGATCGCTTAAAGTTAAGCAAAAGACATGCACTCACATATCTACCATTACACAACTATAAACTAAAGGTTTTCATGCCTGTTTTTTAAACTGATTCATAATTTTCAATCAAATTTCACTCCGAGAACCAAAAAAAAGGCATACACTCACATATATGCCTATATCTAACAAATAAATGATAACTCATACAAGAAATGACCCAATTATCAACCCTAAAACTGAACTACCAAGCAGACACGTAAACAGTACACCAACAAAACAAAACAAACCATATCGGAGTGAAGAATTCTTCTTAAAGACACAAAAATTCATCCAAAAAACGTAATCTCCACTTGTCAGAGCCTCGTGGAAATTAAAGTTAGAACCTCATTTCCAACATTCCTATGTACTTCAATCTAAAGAAACTGACATTTCAAAAACAAATGTACAAGGAGACAACGTAGACAAAAGAGAACTACCGAGAATTATGCGATCTGAGGCCCCCTCCAGTACGTTGAGATTGTGCCGGAGCCGAGAGCCGAGGGCCGGAGTTTCAGCGATACGGTGGATAAACGGTGGACCTGGGTTGGGAGAGGGGAAGGAAGAATAGTGACAAGAATCACCGTGCAGGTGCAAAAATATGGACCGCCGGTTTTTATAGGGGATTATGAAGTGACTTAATTACCATCAAGTGCATGATAATATGGATTATTAGTGAGGGTACTATTGTCCTTTCAGTTGAAATTTACAGACTGTAAATGATTCAATGACACTCTGGTTGGATGTATGGGGGCGTGAAATAGGTGGGGTTGGGGTTTGGTTTATTAATTGATTTATTTTTTTGGTAATTAAGGGCAAAAAGATTAATTTGGGTATTATGGTCTTTTCCCTTGTGAGGTAATATATGGAAAAAATAGAGCATGCACCTTTAATTTTTTTTATAAAATTAAAATTCAAATGTATTTTTTTAATAATGATAGTAAGCCTTTTTTTTTCTTTATATATATTATATATAAAAAGTTAGTTTATATTTGAAATTAGAATTAATTTTCAAATATAAACTATCTAATTAAGCATTTCAAATTTTATCCGTTAAACTATTTCTTTCTATAATGATTTCAAAAAACGCGCGAACAAATTTCTAACGTATATAAAGAGAAATGAGCGCGAACACATATATGTAAATACATGTTTAAATTTAAATTATGAATAATTTTTTATTTTTAAATAATATTAAATAGTATCTGAATGGGAAATGGATTAATAGAAGTGGACCTGGTTAAAACTAATACATGGGCAACAAACTATATACATTAATAAAATGAATTATAGAAATATAATTAATTATAATTAATCATATTTATTTGTAATGAGTTGGGTTTCCATATATGAATGATATAGGAGATTACTTACCTTTTTAAGCCATTAAGACAGATTTGCATCTCAATTTGGCATTCCAAATATAGTCAATGGTATGAATAATCTTATCTGTTTAAAATTAATTAGATTTCTATCTTTGAATTGATTTATATTTCAATTTGACAATAGATTAAGGTACGCTTTAGACTACAATACGAAAGCTCAAGAGCCAATCCTTCTTTTATTCAAAGAATGAGTATCAAGTTTACATCTAAATAAATTCATATTAACAAATACTAAGAAAAGAACCATCAAAACATAAAATAGAACAATAATATCATATGCATAATTTTTTTTTTTTTGTGGCGTTAAGCCAAGTATTTTAGTAATGAGATGAGAATCGTTAGTAAATATATAATATTATGTTGCTCTTTACAACTTATTATAAATACAAATTATAGAATATATAAGGCATTTTCAATGCACACCTTCATTTAACATAATCCTTTATGGACATCAAAAGCTCACCAAGCCACTTCACATCAATACTTGTCTCATTGTTCTTCTTAAAATCAATCAAATATCAATGCAATAATTCATGGAATCACTAGCAAAGATAACATTGATTTGGGAGGAGATACTGAAGGGGATGGGGTTGAACGGTGGACAACATGGAGAAACCAAGGAGCAAACTTAGGCAATGATGTCAATGATGCCAATAATGTCGACAAAATGAACAAGGGTAACATGTTTTTAAAGAAAAAGTATGATGATAATGAAAATAATTTACGAATTAAATAGATTGATTAGCTTGAAAGTGCAATGTTATTATGATAGTCAAATTATGTAATTAGTCTCTATATTTTATAAAAAATGTGAATTTAGTCCATGTATAATAATTTGTCTAAATTTAGTTTCTGTAATTATCTATTTTATTAATTTTAATCAAAACTTTAATATTATTAAATTTTCACTATTAAGCATGTTGATATGTGTTTTGGCTAAACTGGCATGGCATTTATTGAAATGATGTTACATTTTCCTGCTGATGTGGTGTCAATTATGTGCTGGCATGGCATTTATCATGCTAACATAGAATTTGATTGGATTAACATGGCATTTGCTAACATGGCTATCAATAAATGAAACTTGTAATACATGTCACCTTAGCATTTTCTTGCCACATCAATAAGAGTCTCGTCAACATAAACTGTTGTCAATCCAATAAATGTCACATTAACATGATAAATACAATGTCAACAAGATAAATGCTATGTTAGCATATAATCAACAACACATCAACAGAAAAATGCCACATCATCTGAATCAATTTCATGTTAGCTTGGTCAAAACGCATATCAGTATATATAATGGTGAAATTTAATGATATTAAAGTTTGGATTGAAATTAACAAATTAAAAAATTACAAAGATTACATAAATTATTATACATGGACTAAATTCACATTTTTTATAAAGTATAGGAACTTATTATTTAATTTGACTATCATAATAACACTACACCCTCGAGCTAGTCTGCCTATATAACCCACATATTCTTTTGATCCTCTTCATTCTTCTTATTCAAAAGCATGTTACCCTTACTCATCTTGTCGACTCCATTAACATCATTACCAAGTCTACTCCTTAATTCCTTCACCTCATATGCCATTCAACCTAATCACTAACCACTCTTTCAACATCTCCCAAATCAAAGATATCTT